AGAAGGGCGGGGTATAAATTTAATAAAATGAAAATGAAATGAAATATCCCAGTCCCTAATGTGTCCATTTGTTTTTGACTTTTTCTTCCCCGGGGAAAGAAAACATGGTGAAAGAAGAACAGGGAAAGAGAGCTACCCTTGATAATGGTGCTCTTAAATACCCTTTCAGGGATCAGCTCAAGGGGAGACCAGCAGGAGCAGGGACACTCAAGCACAATGGAAAAACAACAACAACGTTCCTTATTGTTGGAGGGGGGAAGGCAAAGCAAAATCAGCAGCTTTGTGAAAGGGAATTCAGTGTGTGTGTGGGGGGGTGTTATTCTGGACTGGAAAAGAGGGACTTACAGTCCATGAAATCCATGTTGTGCTCCTGACCTTTTTGTTTTTTTAATTCTTTGATAAATAAATTAAATAATTGTAAGGCAAGAGGACCATGGTGTGCTTATGTGATGGTTCTTTAAACTTTTCCACTCAATTCCTTGCATCCCACTGTGCAAGTTTTTTTTTTAAAAAAAAATGTTAACAGGGCAGCCCTTGATGTTTGATCAAAAGTCCGCCTTTTTATGCATAGTGCTTTGATTGTACCATCTTGACCATCGTCTAAACTATTTTTAACGCACTTTGATATTATAAACTGTCTGGAGACGAACTACACGACACCTGGTATAAAATGTTCAAAATAAGTGATACTGTAAAAGGAACAAAAACCCTAGTAATTTGCTTAACATTTATTTTGTCACATTACTGATTTTAAACAGAATAAACAATTCACAACTCTTTCTATAGATTGCTTATCTTGGAGCCATCTTTTAAACTGTACCGAGTGACATTTGGACAAGCCATTTAGCAAATGGAAGCAAGTTAATTACTATAATTCATACCAAATCAGACAGCAGCAATTGATCTGAATATGGAGGGGGTGGTGTCTCTGCATTTATTTCTGGATCTTCGTGCTCACTTTCACTATAGCATTCTGAAACAAGATTGTAACCATTAAAAATGTAGAAGACATTCTATTTAATAACCTGTAAAGCAGAAAGCATGTTTTCATGATCACTTTAATCAAAAGCAGAACAGATTGGTTTCTGACCCTATCATTCAGAAAGGGAATTTTGAATGCAAACTACTTTTCTAAAGAGCAACTTCGTGTTGTTTTTTTCCCATACCCACTTTCAGATTGGATTGGATTGGATTGGATTGGATTGGATTGGATTGGATTAGAATAGAATAGAATAGAATAGAATAGAATAGAATAGAATAGAATAGAATAGAATAGAATAGAATAGAATAGAATAGAATAGAATTATGAAGCCTCTTGTAGCAAGAAACACCAAAAGAGGTATGCAATTATTCAGGAAGGCAATGTAAAAGTCACTGTACAGGAGCAAAAGAAATCCTTGTGTATACTACCTTTCTAATCACCAGAAACATTGTGATTGCATCTCTTAGAATGGAATGACTTAGCATTGCTCACTGGGAATTCTGGGAATTCTAGTTTCAACCTCTTTGGAAGATAACCATTGAGGAAAAGTCCTCTCCAGTGGAACTAAAAAAATATTATGGGCAACTTATTACTAGCAAACTACTGTAAATGGTAGGCCTAAGGGATTATAACTAGGTATGCCAAAAGATAAGCATGAGGTAATCAATCTAGATCATATTTTCTGATTTAGTCTGGTCATATGTTCAGTCTATATTGAACTAGACTTTGGATTGAACAATATATAAGTCCTAGTAAAAGGAAGGACTTTCTACATTTATATCACTGGCAAAAATCACAGATTATACAATAATCTGATTTCATCCCTCTTTTTCTTTGCTCCTTCTACATTTGGATTTCACTTTCAAATTATTTCTTTGCAAGTCAATGGGGTCACTTTTTAAAGTATCGAGGATGCTCTTTTAATAGTTCTACCTTTACTATAGCTTGCTGGATTTAACATCCTCTTCTGCTCCTGGTTTGTTAGAATAGATTATTAGTATGGTGCTTTCCACTGGAAATATGAAAAAATAAAGCTATGGATATTTAGGGATAGCCATGGAGGGAGTCAGAAAAGTCAAGATGGTGGCTTTGATGACATCACTGAAGTACTGCCCCTTTTTACATGTGTTATTTGTGTCATATGCTTAAAAAGAGTTGGGGCTTCAATCACACAATCATTGATACCATCCTGGGTTTTTTCAACCCCAACCTGGTTTACATGAGACGACAATATCTAAAATATCACATATAGTGCAACAAAAGATTAGCATCATCTAATCAAAGCCCAACACTTAATTGCACCCATACTTTAAATCCAATCAGATTAATGAACTACATCAGCCATCCTGACCAAATCCCACAAAAAACAAGGTTTAGTAGGGATGGCACAAATATCTTTCAGATTCTTCAAGTCAGTTGAATGATTGCAGCGATCTATTGGGGAAAAGTCAAGCAATCAAGAATGAGTAATCTTATGCGAAGAGCAATATTTTTCTTTATGTTTGGGGTCCTCTTAACAGACATCTTTTCATTCGCTTGTTTATTTACTTGTTTTATACTTCATATGTGATTTGCATCTTTCCTTTGCCTAGTTTGATTGCTTGGAGGCTCTTTTAAAATAATATGATTAAAAATTATTTTTGCCTATCATAAAGATTCTGATTACAAGCAAGAATGGAATAGACTTGTATTCACCCACTTGGTGCCCCTCAAATATTTTGTCATGCTAGCTAGTGATTGTGAATAATAGGAGCTGGAATCCACATAACTGGGGGACACCAAATGAGGAAGACAGCTAAAGCATGATTCCCTTCCTTGTATTGAGGTATTAGGTCTTTATAACTCTGCCTAACAAGTCACAGTAATTCAGATACTGATTAATTTCTTCTCTACTAAAACTATTCTCCTTTTGAAAATTACTTGCATTTTACAGTAGCAAAAGCCAGGAGGCAAGGACAGGCTAAATTTGTCAGGCCATCTGGGATACTTACATTTATCAAGAACATGCCCAGAAATATGTCACTCATTTTCATCATATGTTTCAGATGAGACCCAACAGGGAAGTGAAATTTTGCTAGGCTTTGACACGGTATTAGATAAAACTAGCCTGTTAAAGTGACTGACCTTGCTAATTTTGTTTGTTTTACTAACTTGCATTAATTCTATTACAATCCCCCAAAAAACGACAGAAAAATGACCAAACAAAAGGCCCCTTTTCCAGTTCTCTTTTGGCCATCATAAAGGAGAGGTCGCTTACTGTGAATACAATGCCAAAAATACTGTTATTAGAAATGGAGTAACTGAATGGGTATGTTCTCACAGCGTATTTAATTTAGGTCACTTACAAATCTGTGAATGATTTGCACAATGCGCAAAACTTGGTCAATTTTAACGTTGCTCTGATTGGTTAGTTGATGGTGCAATGCATTGTGTGAATCTAGAACATTAATTCAGCAGTTAAATTAAATGTGTTACAAGTAAGCAATTGGTTAGTGCACAAAGCTGTGTTTATATTGTTACAGCCTATCCTTAAATCACATTGTCAGCCTCCTTAATATCTGGACTCCTACTTGAGGAGAGAAAAAGGCTTACATAAAGGTTTATGTAAGCCTTATATAAAGGCTATATATAAAGCCTTTGTATAGATTTCATAACTTAGGGATTTTATGGCTCCAATTCAAACATCCCTCTTCATTAGGTTTATTGGCTGGGGCTATTAAGAGGTGTAATTCAGCAATAGTTTGTAGCCACAAGACCCCTAGTGGCATCTTCTGTACAGATTGATGGAATTGGCACAATCACAAAAGCCTTGACTAGGAATAAAGAAACTGATATATTTTGAAACAGCCTAACATTTTAAACCTTTTTATTGCTGAATCTGCTCTGTGCACTTGCAAAGGCCTCATGCTGTGATTTAAAAAAAGGATATTACACAACCATTCATATAATGTTAGTGTATTTGTCCATAAAATATACAGTCTGATACATTTCACCCGAAATGAGCATTTTGTACTCACTTGATCCTATTAATGAATGTTTGCACACATTTTAATCTAAAATGTGCATGTTCATGTGTGTTTTGTACCTTTTTTAGCTGATATCACAGCCTGAAAACTGAAGGATAACTGCCACATTCGTTATATTGGTGCAAATAGAAATCGAGTCAGATGGTTTAAGAATACATACTGAACCAAGTCCTCCCATATCCCAGAACCAAACTTCTTGAAAAATCCTGTCCCTATCCTGCAAAATATTGTTAGAAGTTGTTCAATACTATCCATAGGTCATAATATTATTTAGATTAAATCCTTCCCCAAGGTTTCATCTTGATCTAATCAAATATTTAGACTCCCTATTATTTTTTTCTCCAAATAGTAGTCTTCGTATACAAAAGCACAAAGTGATTCCTTGTAAAAAGCTGACATCTGAACTTACCTTCTTCATTCTTTTTATTAGCCTGTTTGTCTAGGACTGCCACGCCTAATTTATTTAGCCATCTGAAATTTAAAATGGAGATACATTTGAATGGAATGTCCCATGAAGTCTGTCTTAGAACAGTGTAAACTAATATGCATTCATTTAAAATGATAATTTACCAGAGTGTGTATTAAAGTAAACTGAATCAAACCTACCAAGCAGACATAATCCCTATTGAAAATCTTCACTCAAAGGCAAATAATTAAAGATATTTACAGTATTTACACTACCGCTGCTGTATATCTCAAAACAAACCTTCAAGTATATGTTACATTAAATTTCTCATTTGCTTTCATGTACAGATAGCTGTTTTCAGCACATACTGTAACATTCTAAAAGCAGGAATCCCTCTGCCAGCTGTATTCCATACATTAGGATAAAGGCAAAGTTGGCCTTCAGCCAACCCTAACCCTAACCTCTGGTGGCTTCAGAGATATAATCATATGGTTTTCTTGACAACAAATTTCCCACAATCTTCTTTGGGATTCCTAGCCTAGGCTGCAGCCTTGGATTCCCTAGGAGTCTGGAATCCAGATACTAGATACTACTAAAGTCCACCCAGCTTTGCACCCAAGCTGTGCTTCCTGACAATTGTCCAAGATCTGCTAACTCTGAAACCATTATATAAATTCAGAGGTAGAGGATGCTGTATAAATAGAATAAAGGAGCAGTAGTTCTTCCAGCTTGCACCCTTGATGCAGTCTAACTGGTCCTAACTCCTCCCTGAAGCCTTGTCTCTTGGGAAAGGAGAAACAAAAGGAGACCTCATTGGAACATTGAGTGGGCGACAGCTCTCCATCATTAGCGCATATACAATACAAGTGGCTCCTCCATTCCAATTGACATTTATTTATCATTTATATAAAACATTTATACAGTTTCCTGACATGTTTCCTGAACTGAGAGGGAAAGTTTAATCTTCCCTGTTTGCAATCTTCCTGCATGCATCTTACTCAGAAACTTTTCAGGCATAGCAAAGATGGAGTTGAATATGTTTGCATGGATCAGTGGATGAGAAAAAGAAAGAGATGTAAGGTCTTTATTTGATTTTATATTCAGCCATGAAGATATGTGATCAGGAAGTTATGGAGTCCAAAGACAGAAAAAAAGACATCTTCTGGAACAACATGTTATTTATTATTTTATTTTAATTTTTTATAATTTTTTACCCTGCCTTTATTACTTTATAGGTAACTCCACACAGTGAACATACATAATATTCCTTCCTCATCCTATTTTTGTCACAACAATCCTGTGGGGTAGTGGACTGAGAGAGAAAGTGACTGGCCCAAGGTCACCCAGTTAATTTTCATGCCTAAATGGGACTAGAACCCACACTGTCCTGGTTTCTAGACCACCACCTTGACTAGTGTCACTGAACTGACACTTCTGACAACAGTCTACATAGAAATAATAATCAAAACAATACAATCAATCAACCTAAAGAAACTGAAGTTGGGTATTTATTTTTACTTACATATTCATTTCTTGCACATTTTCTGCTGCAAAATAGAATGTCTTGATCTGTGGATGTGTGATCTTCATCGCACTTCCAAAACAAATTAAAAGATATGTGAAAGATATTAGATTTTCTAAAGGTTAGGCTGAATGAAAGAATCAGAAACATTTCGATACAGTGAAATATCCCTGAAACCTAGTTCCATGAGGTATTCCAGAAGACTATAATAATTGTGGGGCAAAATGTCCAGTTAATTCAAGGGAGTTAAGAAGATCCAGCTCTCAAGATGATTTGGGCAATCTCAATCTTATATTTCAGCTTAAATCCATGCTGTGTCAAAAGTTGAAAACAACCACTAAACTAGGAAAATCTTATGTATAACTTCTAATAATTGTAATGAAATACAAAATTTGGGGGTCTATCAAGATGCAATATTGTGTTCTTCTTTTTCAGAATAAAGCAATATCATGGATTTGCATGGATTACTTTTTTAAGTAATGTTCAGTCCCAACTTCTGCTTTATTCTTCATAATTCACTGTAACTTTCCCAAGGACCGAAACAGAATGATAGACTTACTGTTTTTTCTTGCATTCTGTTGCTTGATCCACTGTGAAGTTTGGAAGGTTGAGGAAGCCTTCTGCTTTCTCTGCCTAGGAGGAAAACCCACAATATATTAATATATGCCATGTTATTGATCAAAATTGGATACTGGAGATTGATGAATTTCATATCACTGTTCACATTATAGAAAGGATATTTTTAGATACATGAGCTAAATTGTAAGCCATAGTATAGTCTGAGGAATTATTTATAATTATAGTGTATAACAAATAGGAGATGAAATATACAGGACCTTTGCTCCCTGCATTCTTATGCTCAAATTGTTAGCAGTTATTTAATTGGACAAGACAGTTGTTTATTTTCTATCACTAGCTCATAAGATTCTGGACAGCTGTAAAATCTAAACTAACTGTGTACTCTGATAGAACTGCAGAAATTTAAATCAATTAATGTGTAAACAAAACAAATATAAACAATCAAATATGAAGTTACCATGGATGCCTATGAGACATCAATCAATAGCTGAATTTCTGAATGTAAGACAGTGGATACCATTCCTACTATCAGAGAGCTACTAAGTGATCTGCTTCTAAGATATTTCAAAAGAGGAAGTAAAGAAGAAGATTGGTGACTGATATATTGTTGACCATATATCTTTCTAGTGGAAGGTGCAGAAATAATCCTCGTTTCCAAACTTTACATTAGAGTATGTTCTAAAACCCATTTCCCCCCAGGAGAAAAACTAGTGGATTTTTGTACTTATGAAAGCTGCATTTCTCACACAAATAGCACCAAGTAAGAAGCCTGCAAGGTTTTAGAAAGATCAGTTCATTAATTTTTATTATCTTCAAATGCAAATGGAGTGTGAATCAGCTGCCCATTCCTTGGCTAAAGCCATTAGCAAACAAAAGTTAAGAAAAACTGGTTTGGGTGCTAGTGAACTAAACACTATTTAATACCTTTCGTGCAGTCTGTTAAACTGTCACTGTTGTCAGTTAGGGGAGTTAGGCTAGATGGATATAAAACAAACACTGGTAGAAACAAAAGAACATGAACAAGCATTTGTCAAGATACACAATTTCATAAAATCCTTTTTTTTATATCCCCACTTTCGTGAGAATTATTAGCTTACACTATAAGCTAATATAACATGCAGAACTGTTGGACAGTCTTGGTAAAAATATTTACTGTGGTTAGAAAGTAGATCCATCAGTAACAGAGCTCTCTCTCCTTGTCTAATTGTGACATTTTTCCCAATATAAAGAGCTTGCTTGCATTGGCTTTGGTTACACAGTCTGGTTCACCAGGTTAGCTAAACACCTATCAGGTGCATAAAGTAAAGAGATAAATAAAAAGCAATCCGTATCTCTATTATTTTACATATTCTGAATCACTAACAATGTTTTAGGAGGGTTCAGATTCACGTTTGTGGGTTTTTGAAAAGAATCTCTTTCATTTCAGTTTCCTAGGTAGTTTTCTGGGAAAGAATCTAATGCAGGTAAAGGCAGAAGGAAAGGGAAGAAGAGGATGACCAGCAGCAAGGTGGATGGACTCGGTTACAATGATGATGGATGAACAGGATAAATCATCCTGGAGAAAGTCTACCCATGTGGTTGCTGGGCATCAAAAACAACCTGATAGCAATAATCAATCTGTCTGAATTTGCACGGTTCAGCTTAGCTTTTATCAAAATCCAAAGTTTGCTAACAGCCTGTGTGATTCAATGAGAATTGGCCCTCGTATAATTGGCAAATATGTGTGGAAAGGGCAAAATGTAGGCTGAATTAA